GGGGAGTAATTGAACTGCTGTCAGAGAGTGTGTAATTGAACTGAGTATTGTTGAAGTCGAGCACGTGAGACGTTCGTTGAGAATTATAGCGCGACTGTTGAAATTAATTGTATCGCAAAGTTATATTCGGAAAGAATGAGCCAGTTTTATTTAAGAAAGGACTTGTGTCGCTAAAGTTTCGTCAGAACGAATTTACGGAAAATTAACTAACGAACGGAGACGTAACAGATCTAATAAAAATTGAGAAGGTTAAAGGTTAAATGTCATTAAAGAATCTAACAGGCTATTAGCTGTTAAGTAATAGGTTTTTAATTAAATTATTTCGGGATTTGTAAATAATTCAGACTTTCACAGATTTACTAATATATTTATATGTGAAATAAAAAGAACTTCAACAATTACTGGATTCTAGTTTATCAGGTTGCTTTTCTTCAAGATAATTATTTATGACAAGCAATCTATCTCAAAACAACTGATCCAAAGTTGACTTTCCATAATTGTTTGTTTTATTTTTTGAATTTCGCACAAAGCTACACGAGGGCTATCTGCGCTAGCCGTCCCTAATTTAGCAGTGTAAGACTAGAGTGAAAGCAGCTAGTCATCAGCACCCACCGCCAACTCTTGGGCTACTATTTTACCAACGAATAGTGGGATAGACCGTCACTATATATCGCCCCCACGGCTGAAAGGGCAAGCATGTTTGATGAGAAGGGAATTTGAACCCGCGACTTTCTATGAAAGTCTAATTCTGGCGAAGTAGTTGTAGATGAAACAAAAGGTTCCTCTTATAAGTTTGCCAAAAAGAACACGTGAAAAATAACATCATTTACGTGACATTTTATAAGGTATCATTTCTACATATTATTTAACCTGAAAGATTATCAAAGCTGGATTTCAATACCATAAACACACTTATATAATCAACCAAAGGCAGTTTAGAAGGGAGGGGCGAGGCAAAGGGGGTCAACTGCTCCGGGCGCCCGATTAAAAAAATGAATCAACACTGGATGTGTCATGAAAAACATATGTTTAGAATTGTCATTACGACAATAGCGATTTGACTCTTTTCATAAAAAACTTATTATTTTATAATTTTTCAATAACGCGTTTTTCTTCAATAAATATTTCCTCGGCCATTTAAAACAAAATTATTTGTCATAAATTTATATAAACTTGAAAAATTTCTTGTAATTACATTATATTTATCATAAATATTACAATTAGTATTTTGAATGTTAGCTACTCATCATTTGTGTTTGTGTACTGCTCAAATTGTAGTTAATAAAAAGTGAATTGTATTTGACATATTTCCATAATTCAGTCCTAAGCCCCCACCTCACCCTACAAAATTTGCCTCGGGCTCCTCAAGTCCTTAATTCAGCCCTATAACCAGCCAGTTAATACGAATTTCTTATTCTATATACATTGAATTGCCCATATGTTATGACAAAATATTTGGAAAAACTAAAGTTGACCTTCTTCAAATATTAAAAATAAAAAGACGCGAAAAGACCAGGACTTCTTACTAAACTAGTAACATATAATATCTAAAATTAATCACCAAATATTTTTATAAAAAACATATTTTAACTTAATATATTTTACAACTTACACAATAATCATGACAACAAATAAAACAAGGTTTAAAACATGCTTTTCCCCCTAATAACTTATGAACCAGTTTTTTTAATGATGCAATGACTCGGCTAAAACTTTAAAACAGTTTTTTTTTTTCTTTTAAATTACAAGCGTTTGTTTGTTTTGAATTTTGCGCAAAGCTACACGAGGGCTATCTGCGCTAGCCGTCCCTAGTTTAGCAGTGTAAGACTAGAGGGAAGGCACCACCCACCGCCAACTCTTGGGCTACTCTTTTACCAACGAATAATGGAATTGACCGTCACATTATAACGCCCCCACAGCTGAAAGGGCGAGCATGTTTGGTGTGACGGGGATTAGAACCCTCGATCCTCAGATTGCGAGTCGAGCGCCTTAACCACCTGGCCATGCCGGGCCAAAAGTACAAGAGAAAAGTCACAATTGGTTTCGAACGACTGTTAAAGACATCGATACAGTTGACTACGATATCTAAGGTAAAATCTTAAGATAAAGGCTTTGTCCCCTTGCTAGTTTTTTATTCCTTTTTTTACCCTAAGGATATATAAACAAATATTAAATTACCTTAACCTCACCTTATTGGTTTCAGTTTTAAATATCTTATTAATCCTTCGACTTACAATCGCTACAGGGAATTTCAACAATTAAAACTCAACTATATAATACAACAATATCAAGTTATATTAACTGATTCAGTATTCACTTAACAATCATAACAAAATAATGAAGCAACATTATTGGCCATCTTTGTACAATTAAAAACAAAACATATATTCTTAAAAATGTAAATATACATGGGCTGATCAGAAATAGACCACACTTGATATTTTCTTTCGTTTTCATGAAAAACAAAAGAAAAACGCCCTAACTTTCTTGGAAGAGCGAGCAGGAACAACGTAAACACCTGCAAACAGACCGTCGTTACTTTTCCCCAGCTGAATCCAGACCAGGCAGGTTTCTACCAGTCCTTGTTTTTTTTTCCATTTTAGTTGACACGATTGTCTGTGCGTCGTTTGATATGGATCAGTTGTTTGTTTGTTCTCTTTGCGAAAGGGCCGACGTAATTAAAAATTACAATAAGCGGTTATTATAAAACACTCTGACAGTAAATATTATATAATTTATATTACGAAATATTTTTTTTCTTCTTTTACTAACTACGTGTGCCTGTAAAATTTATTATTTTACTCACTTTTTAAAGTTTTAATAGAACGTCTTCGTGGACGAATTTTTATTTGTAATTATATACATTTACTTTGAAGAAAATTTGAAATGTTATCGTGAACAGCAAAACCTATGGTGGGCATTCCTTCAAAATACTAAAATAATACGTATATATACAGGAAGTCTATAAAGTATAATACTAGCAACTTTAGTTTGTACAATATCCTCCATAACTTTGCAAGTAACAGCAACAACAAAAAACAACATGGGACCTTTGGTCCACCTCGGTCGTCCCATCCTCTAACCTAAACTAAAACTATATATATATATATATATATATATATAAACTTAAAGCCAGCCCTTATCATTTTTATGCTTATCAAGCTTTCTATTAAATTTCCTGCCTCCACAGTATCCGACGGCAACCCATTCCAAACAACAACCACCCTGTTAGAAAACTAAAACTAGTCTTAGCCGAAGGTGACTCCTACCCTGTCAAAACGTGGTGTTACTTTTTCAACTATTGTGAGATAGAAAAATATTTTAATATGCATATTAAAAAATGTATATGTGTCCATCAAGAAGTATATTTATTTGGGTAAATCAAACTTGTTGTTTTTTTGTATGTCAGATCAAGGGTATATTAACAAACTTGATAAAATTCTGCATTTTAGTTATAGGCCTACATATGTTAATATTTAACAAGGATATTTTATCGAGAATAAAACGCGGAAAAGGCTTACCTTTCTCGGGAAGTTGCTTCTCAAGCTTGCAGCGCTGAATAATGTATCCTACTGTGAGAACTTTTCGAAAGCCTCAGAGGGTTAGTATAAAATGAATCATCTCGATAACGATTAGCGCTTTTGTTTACAATAGGTGTGTTTATGACGTAAATTAAACTACCTAGAATGCAAAATATAAGTTACTTGATTTGCCGAACTAAGGATTTTATGAAAGCTAATTATTAACTCTCAAGTTAAGATATGTTTACACATATCTTTCGTCACCGGTGGAGTTCGCATATTATAACATCTCTCTCTCTCTCTCCGGATCGGGATTTAGGTCTTTTGTGACCTAAGAGGGTCAGGTTCGTGGGGACCTCTTCTTCCATGTTGAATATTTGTTTGTTACTTGAACTTCGCGCAAATGTACTCGAGGGATATTTGCGTCAACCGTTCCTAATTTCGAAGGGATAAACTAGACAGAAAAAAAGCTTGCCAGCACTACCCACCGCCTACTCTTGAGCTGCTCTTTTAAAGGGTTTTATGTTGTGTTATTGTATTTTAAAGGGTTTTATGTTGTATTATTGTATTTTAAAGGATTTTATATTGTATTATTGTATTTTAATGATATTTATGTTGTGTTATTGTAATTTAAAGGATTTTATGTTGTGTTATTGTAGTTTAAAGTGGATTATATTGTGTTATTGTAATTTAAATTATTTTATGTTGTGTTATTGTAATTTAAAGTGGATTATATTGTGTTCTTGTAATTTAAAGGTTTTTATATTGTGTTATTGTAATTTGAAGGGTTTTATGTTGTGATATTGTAATTTAAAGTGGATTATATTGTGTTATTGTAGTTTAAAGGTTTTTATGTTATTATTATAGTCTAAAGGGTTTTATGTTGTGTTATTGTAATTTAAAGGGTTTTATGTTGTGTTATTGTAATTTGAAGGGTTTTATGTTATTATTATAGTCTAAAGGGTTTTATGTTGTGTTACTGTAATTTAAAGGGTTTTATGTTATTATTATAGTCTAAAGGGTTTTATGTTGTGTTACTGTAATTTAAAGGGTTTTATGTTATTATTATAGTCTAAAGGGTTTTATGTTGTGTTACTGT